AAAAAAAAAAAAAAAAAACTTTGGAACCTTTATGGCAACCTTTGAGGGTTGGCACTCAGCTTACCTCTCCAGCCAGACTAGAGGCCATCCTGCAGCCGTCCACTCAGCCCAGCTTTACTGACTGCCCACCATGCTGTGGGTGGGGTAGGAGCCAGAGACACAGGCAGTAGCACCGCTCAAACCAGCTGTGCATCCCGGCAGCTGAGGGTTTCCATGGCAGCCGCTCTCTGCCATCCTCCATTCTGGGTCCTCTTTGTTATACATTCAACAAGCCTCGACTGCAGTGCTTTTCAACCATTTTTTATCTCATGGCACACTTGAACCTGTAGTTAAACTTCCACAGCACACTTAAAGTATTTTGATCAAAAAAGAGTAAAAAAAAAAAAGAATACACTTCCTACAGAGTCTCACTGTGTCTCCCTGGGTAGAGTGCCCTGGTATCATCACAGCTCACAGAAACTTCAAACTCCTGGGCTCAAGCAATCCTCTTGCTTCAGCCTCCCAAGTAGCTGGGACACAGGCATATGCCCCAACGCTGGGTAGTTTTTCTATTTTTAGTAAAGATGGAGTCTCTTGCTTAGGCTTGTCTTCAACTCCCGAGTTCAAGCAATCCACCTGCCTCAGCCTCCCAGATCACAGGCATTAGCCCCAGCACAAGGCCTTCTTTCTAAAATAATTAATGATAATTTTAAAATGCCTGCAGCATACCTAAGATGCTCTCCTGGCACGGTGGTAAAAATCACTGGTCTATTTGCTACCTACTCCGTGCTGTTCTAGTTGCTTGAGATTATTATTGGACAAAATAGAGCCAGTTCAAATCCCTCTTCAGAAAAATGCAAAGGTATGACAATATGACCACAATTTTATGGGACTCTTGGACCCTTGCCTCGGAGGGTGACTCCGTGACAGTTTGTTGCTCCAACACTGAGTATTTCCAGCTGCCCCCTCCTGTACGCTGTCCCGGGCCCCTCTGGACAGGGAGTGAGGGGGCCGGCCACTCCCACTCTGTAAGTTCTCAGTTAACTAGTGCTGACTCACTGTTAGAAGTCTTGGAACCCCAAGGACTCCAAACATCTTGGAGCTGGTCCTCTGGGGGACCTGTGTGAGCTCTGAGTGCCCAAGCCTGAGAGGCAGGGATGGGGAGGGAGAAAAATTCCTCTATGTTCCTCCTGAGGATGACTGGAGCCTGAGCCTGAGCCCAGCTCAGATACCCGGAGCTGGTGGGGGTTTTTTGGTCTTTGTCCATCTCCTGCCTCCAGGAGAAGCAACTCCTCCTTCAAGCCTCAGGTCAGGGGTCCCCTTCTCCAGGAAGGCTTCCTTGGCTGTCCGCACCCCAACCACCCTTCAGGGACGTCTTCCATCACTGCCCTCCCGCACAGCTGGGCTGATCTGTTCCCACCGCCATTCCCCGACCAGCTTAGCCCATGTCTGGCTCTGGGCCAGCACTCATGGGGCTTCTGCCTATGTCTCTGGCTCCTACCCTCCTGCCCTGGGCATGGTGGGCAGTCAGTAAAGCCAGGCTGAGTGGATGGCTGCAAGACGGAAAATTCAGAAGAGGTGACAAAGAGATCAGTGATTTTCTTGTGAACCTCTTGACCACCCCACCCCCACACAGCAGACTCTGAGACAGAGGTGAGCGTGTAGGGCGTTGATCAGGGCGCCCTTGGGGTTGGTACCCATGGGCAGATTGGAGGAGGCAGAACCGGGCATAGACTCAAAGCCCTATTGACCCCGGGAAGCTCTGGAGCTGTGATGGCCCTTCAGAGCTGGGGCAGGGTGCCAGGCCTTTATGCCCCACATCCACCAGCCATGGGCTGCTGGTCCCTTGGGGGAAAGGTGACTGTGGTGAGGACACACAGGGGCTGATACAAGGACCCCCCTGAGGCAGCTGGGGGTATGTTATCCATTTCGGGAAGCACACGCAGTATCCCCCCACTAACTAGTCTCTTGACACATTGACCCACCTCTTTCATCCCCCCACTGCTCAGATTTCAGCCACTGCCCCCCCACAATGGCCTAATGACCACAGTGCTTCCCCCACTGTCATTGTGAATTCAAGGCCTGAGGGTGCTGGGGCAGGCCTGCCCTGTAGGAGGTAGGAGCACTGTGTCTGAAATGGTTCCCTGGGCTCTACAGTCCAATGGTCCTGCAGGCAGAGCCCAGGAAGCCTGGCCCACTGCGAGGTGAAGCCTGGGTCCTGGAAGCCCCTGGCTGGCCACAGGCCCCTGGGGTTTGTCAGTCCATTTGTGGATTCAGAGCATACCTTGGAGCAGCTGAGCTCTGGGCTGGGGCTCCTTGTAGGTAATGGCTTGTGTATACAGAGAAATGTGTCTGGAAGGACACACAGGACTTTGGGAGACAGAGGTTGGAGCTAGAGAGATTAAAGTTTTATATGTATATGAATCTTTTTAAATGTCATGCCCCTCATCTATCCAAAAATACTAAATAAATAAATAATAAAAATAAAGACCTTATATGAGAGGCTTGAGAAGCTGCATAGGGTGGGACCGATAGTAGGTCCTTGGGCCATTAGGCCATCTCTAGTGTCCCTTATAGGGTCCCTCAGTGTCCTCTCTGGCGACTTTTCCTTTATGGGTCCTGGCTGATCACCTCCTGCTGCCCTCAGACTCAAAAGAGCCACTGCAGGACTCGTGGTGTGTCTGGCTCAGGGCCAACCCAGCCCCCCAGATCCAAGGCGGGTCCCCTATCTCATTGATCAAATGGTAGGTGGAAGCGGTGTGGGCACGTGCTCCACCTCCCACCCCACCTGCGGACCCTGCTCGCCAGCCATGGGCAGTTTGGGCCGACCTCCCTGTCTCCTCCCTGGTGCAGGCCCAGCCTATAAAGCCACGCTGAGCGTCCTCCCCAACCCTGGCCCCCTTCCTAGACAGCCAGACCCACAATGGCAGAGCTGCCCACACCAGAGACGCCGGGGAACCCTGCTCTGTGCAGTGGGCGGTTTACCATCAGCACGCTGCTGGGGGGTGATGAGCCCCCGCCACCAGCTGCCTATGACAGCAGCCACCCCAGCCACCTGACCCATGGCAGCACCTTCTACATGCGAACCTTTGGCTACAACACTATTGATGTGGTCCCCGCCTACGAGCACTATGCCAACAGCGCCCTGCCTGGAGAGCCCCGAAAGGTCCGGCCCACGCTGGCCGACCTGCACTCCTTCCTCAAGGTAAGTGCTGTTTCAGACAATTGGCCACTTCCCGCTGTGTGGCTGTAGCCCACTTACCTAACCTCTCTGATCCTTGGTTTTGTTTGTGCCATGAGGACAAATCAGTGTCTTCCTCATGGGTTGAAAGGCCCCGGTGAAATGGTGGGAGTGGTGGGAGCTGTAGAGTGGTGGGAGTTGTGATGTGGGAGTGGTGGGAGTGGTGGGAGTTGTGATGTTTGTTGTCTGATCCCCGGCAACCCAGTGGTAGACTGGGCAGCTACAGAGGTAATGAGTCTTCAGTCAGTGGAAGCATACAAACAGAGGATGCATATTCCTGAAAGAGACAGGGAAAGGAGGGGCATGGAAGGTCCACCTCAGACAGGGGGCTCACTGGGCTTGCTGCCTAGGAGGTTGGACTTCTGAGGGAGCGGGGCTGGGAGCTGTATTGTCATGACCCCCGTCTGACCTCACTTCCCATCTGACAATTGGGCAGAATCATTCTTGGTCTGGATCTAGGACTTGCTAAATTCACAGGGCTCCTCCCCATGCCCCATGGCCTAGACATGGTCCCTTGTTCCACACTGGGCTTTGGAGATGGGGTGCCAAGAAAAAAGCCCCAGAGGAGGGTAGGCTTCAATCACCTAGGGCACCAACTCCCCAGAGGTAGAGGCCTGGGGTCCCAGTCCCAGCCCTGCTGGGGACCCACTATGTGGCCTTGGACAAGCTGCCTTCTCTCTCCAGGGCAACACTAACCCTGTCCCTCCTTCTCAGGCTGCACAACTGCCTGGCCAGTTCCAAGGCCACTGCTCTCCCAGGGGAATAAGTGTCATGACCAGGCGCTCTCAGGACTCCCATTCTCCAATTCCATTGGGGAGTTTCTTAAAAGCCCCTCAAACAGCTCAATACCCAGTGAAGCTGAGGGGTCTGAGGATGCCCAGTATGGGGCACAGTGGCAATGACCCCGGGGGTGGTTGCAGAGATCCAGTCCCAGCATCTCTGCCTGCCTGACGCGTGGTCTCTGGGCTCCCAGCAGGAAGGCAGACACCTGCACTCCCTGGCCTTTGACAGTCGGCCCAGCCATGAGATGACCGATGGACTGGTGGAGGACGAGGCAGGAACCAGCAGTGGGAAAAGTCCTGGAGAGCCCGTGCGCTTTGGCTGGGTCAAGGGGGTGATGGTGAGTGGGGTGTGGGTGGGTCTTGATGTCCATAAACGGAGGTGGGAAAACATAGCTCCATCCAGGTTCAGCCCTGACTTTCAAGTCCTAGTGGCCAGGCCAGACCCAGGGCCCAGCCTGGGCCTGTTTCCCCATCTGCACAGTGACCTCAAATTTTCTCTGGTTTGTGCTTCTAGACCTACTTTTATGCCCTAGGCTGAGACCTGACCCTGGGGAAGATCTCTGCTTTCCCACTCACTAGTCATGTGGTAAGGTACTTAATCTTTCTGTGCCTCAGTTTCCTCATCTGTGAATGAATTAAATGAGTTAAGTGAGGGAGGTCATTGGATCAATGCCTGTCCAGGAGTTATTAGAAGTTATATTTCCCCCAATAGCCACTAGGTGGCAACACTAAACACAAATCCACAAACCAGTGGCTTTTTCCCCCCCCTCATTCTCCTCTGTGAAAGGAAAGGTTTGCTGTAGGTTAAGGTGTGGATAAGTCCCCAGACTTTACAGGAGCAAGTGAACTTAGCTTTGGAAGACATTATGGGACTTTTCCGAGAGCACTACATGGGATCTAGGGAAAAGCTTCAGTCCTGTTCTGGGAGGCAGGAGGCCAGGGTTCTGATCTTCTTTTTTTTTTTTAATTAGATCATGATTATTAGATCATAACTGTGTACATTACCGCATTTATAGGGTACAAAGTGCTGATTTTATATACAATTTGGAATGTTTACATCAAACTGGTTAACATTAAGGTGACCAGATTTTAACATTGGTAAAGTGGGACACCATTGATGGGGGGGGGTTCTTAATTAAAAATTTGGTCTATATGGAGCAACAAAAATTTTCATAGAATGCAAAAATAGTATTGTAATATATATTTTTTAAATTTCAACATAAGTACAATTTACAAATATAATACATTAAAAAAAATTATGTATAGGGTGTCGCCTGTGGCTCAAATGAGTAGGGCACCGGTCCACCTGGGCGACCTTGCCCAGGAGGGGAGTAGGGAGTTTACATTAGCCTTTTCATTTCCAAATGAAGTTACATTAACCTCTTCATTCCCAAATGGAGTTACATTAACCTTTTCAGCAGCTGAAAATCGTATATTCCCTTCCCGTTGTCCTGCCATTCCCTAGCTTGTCGTGCATTCTTTCCAAAAATCAGGACTTTTTTAAAACGCCGCAGGACATGGGACAAATTGTTCAAAATCGGGACTGTCCTGCCAAAAGCGGGACATCTGGTCACCTTAGTTAATATAGCATTCAACCTCACTCGTTTAATTGTTGTGTTTAGACATTTATACTCTACTATTAATATATTTGACATGTACACTTGCAATATGCGTAGTAGGTGAGGCCCTCCCCATTACTCTCCCTCAACCCCCTCTCCCCTCACCCTCCTCTTCTTTCCTTCTTTCTGGGCTATAATTGCATTTTATCTTCTGTATGAAAGTGTGGGTGATCTGATCTTAGCTGTGCCTCTGTTTCTCCATCTGAATCACAAGCCCTCTGCCCTCCCCCTCATCTTCAGAGACTGGATCTCCCTGGGACTGTGCTGGCTGGAGCCTGGTGTGGCCCTGTTCTGCATCTCAGAGCAGATGGAAGGCCTCAGAGGTTCCCCTGGGTTGTGAACACCATATGCCCCAGCCCAACCTACACCTTGGTGGGGCTAAACACCACACCAGCCCCTCCCATCTGAGAACTTCAGCCTCAATCATGGCCTCTGGCTTTGCTTTAAATTTGGAAGCTGAAGTCATCTCAATCTGAGCTCTAGTTTCTGCTCATACATGGGGCATTGGCTCAGCTGGCATTTGCTGAACTCCCAAATGCCAGGCCCTGAGTCAACAGCCAGTCTCTGGGGCCAGGGCTGGGGCTGGCAGACACAGGATCCTGGGCTTGGAATAGGGTTAGGGGTGATAATGCTTGCAGTCCACTCTCAGGCCTCCATGGGAGGGCTGGAGAGTGGGTGGGAGGGATAGGTGGGTCTCCAGGTGCCTCTCACCCTCCTGCCCCACAGAACTGGAGAATCAGACCAACCGACATGGGAAAAGCAAAGAAAGGGCCCAGGTGTCCCCTAGGCCAAGGTCCCTAGTGCCATGCTGGACCAGGGAGAGGCACTTGTGTGTTTTGTTTGGGGGTATCGACCAGGTGGCCTCTGACCCCACTCTCCCCCCAGATCCGTTGCATGCTCAACATCTGGGGCGTGATCCTCTACCTGCGGCTGCCCTGGATCACGGCCCAGGCAGGCATTGGTGAGTGTGGCTTTTGGGGAGAGGAGGGAAGGCACACTTGAATCCTCAGTTCTCTAAGGCTCCATGGGAGTAGGCCAGGCCTGCTCCTCCCCAGTACAGCATCAGGCCCCTGCAGAGACAGGGCTCAGAGTGGTGTGACGTAGAGTCAGCATGCTGAGGGCTCTCCCTAATTCTGCTACTGCAGCACATGTGCTCTGGACAGACCCGGTTCAGATGCTAGCTCTGTACCATGCTGTGGGGCAGAGAAAGGTTTTTAGCCTCTCTGAGCCTTGGACTTCTCATCAGTAAAATGGGGGTGACAACAGTACCTGCCTCACAGAGCCATTGTGGGGTTTGCAGGTTAAAACATAGCACAGGGGTAGCACCCAGAGGTGTGCATCAGGTTGTAACTACTTATTTTATTATTAAACCAGAGTCCTTCCCTTCATGCCTAACAATCCTTTGCATGTTGGCTCATGAGCTCCCTGGCCATTAGAATACGCCAGGAGGTAGACAGAGACCCATTTTCAGATGAGAAAACTGAGGCTCAGAGAAGGGTGAATTAGGAGACAGACTTAGGTTCCTCCCCTGGCTCCTCCCCTGGGAACCTCCCTGACTGAGTTTTGAGATGCTCACCCGCCCCCCAACAGTCTTGACCTGGATTATCATCCTGCTCTCTGTCACGGTGACCTCCATCACAGGACTCTCCATCTCAGCCATCTCCACAAATGGCAAGGTCAAGTCAGGTAGGCCCCCCCAAGGCCCTCCTCTCGGAGGCTCCCCTGTCTCTACCCTGGGAATGGGTCTTTGATCTGTTCCCCTTACAGAACGGCCCTACCCCAGCTGCTCCTGTGATACCAGGTAAAGGCTCTGGGCAGGCTGCCCTCACCACAGGGTGGTCTTGGTTATCTCCTGCCCTGTGGGCCCTACAGTCACCCCTTCCTCAGCCTCTGCCAGGCCCAAGTCCAGTCCAGATACTTGACCCCTCTGGTTTCATGGCTCCTGGCTCTGGCCCCAATAGGTGGCACCTACTTCCTCATCTCCCGGAGTCTGGGTCCAGAGTTAGGGGGCTCTATCGGCCTCATTTTCGCTTTTGCCAACGCCGTGGGTGTGGCCATGCACACTGTGGGCTTTGCGGAGACCGTCCGTGATCTGCTCCAGGTAAGGCCAGAGCTGAGCCCTAGGTAGAGGGAGCCCAGGGAACACACCCTTCTCTATCCCCTCTCAGGGCCATCTGGGTCTTCCTGTACCCCTCCACCAGGATTTCACCCACAGGGCCATAGTCTGATCACTGTGGATGGCAGTGGGAACCTTATCAAATGAAGACCATTTCCAGAAGTCCCCTTTGGGGGTGTCTGGGTCCTTTAGGGCCACATTTTGTCTGAGCCCAAGGAGCAGCTGCTTTAGGGGGTCTGCTGGCAGGGACAGTGCAATTTCCTATCAGAGGGCCCTCCAGGAGGTGCCTCCAGATCAGGGGTGGGGCGTTCAGAGGTCAGCAGGCAGCCCAGCCTGTTCCCTCAGGAGTACGGCACACCCATCGTGGACCCTATTGATGACATCCGCATCATCGGTGTGGTCACGGTCACCGTGCTGCTGGCCATCTCCCTGGCTGGCATGGAGTGGGAGTCCAAGGTAAGGAGGCACAGGGGAGCAGGGACATGGAGGTGGCAAGTGAGAAAAGTGGGAATTGTGAGACCTGGGTCCTGGCCCTTGTCCTGCCTCTATGTGTCCTAACAAGGCGATGGTACATTCTGTGGCTGTGACAAAACGCCCCTAAGTCATGGTGGCTCAGCCCAGAGGAGCTTTGTTTCTCTCTTGTGTACCTAGTCCAGGCAGGCATGGTGGCTCCAGGGGTCAAGCCCTCAGACTGACTCCTTCCATCCTGTGACCCTCCTTCCCTGAGGTGCGGCCCTTGGTCACCTGGTCCATGATGGCCAGGGCACTTCGTCCACAGTCCAGCCAGAGGGAAAGGGAAGAAGAGATGGCAGAGAGGGAATTCCCTTTCCCTGGCTAAGGGAAAGGCACAACCGGCAGGGGCACATAGTTGCAAGGAGCCTGGGGCAGGCACCGTGGTCTCCATTTGAAGCATGAATCCATCCCAGAGTCAGAAGTGTAGCACTATGAAGTAAGGAAAGGGGATGTTGGGCCGCAGCTGGCTGGCAGCCTGCAAGCAAGGTGGGCCCTGGCCCTGCAGCCCTGCCTCCCTAACCCCTTGGCATTCTGATTCTGGCTGCGCTGGCCTCTGGCCCTTCCTCAGATGCAGCAGGCTGAATCCCCCAGATGATTCTACAGCTCATTCTTCTCCCTTCTTCTGTGTCTGCTCAAACGTTTTCTCCTTGGAGACTCCCCCCCAGGCCACCCTACTAAAGTGGCCCCTGACCTAGCCCCCATCCCACCCCTCGTTCTTACTCTAAATTCATCTCCTTTATCAGAGACAAGAGGCCATGGCCGTCTTGTCTGCTGCTGTACCCCCAACTCCTTGAGTGGAGCTTGCTGCATGACGGGGGTTGAATGAATGAGGGAGGGACCCTGGGCAAGTCCTCCCTGGTGGGGCTTCCTGAAGTGGCGGGGTCCTGTCTGCAGGCCCAGGTGTTATTCTTCCTTGTCATCATGGTCTCCTTCGCCAACTACTTGGTGGGGACGCTGATCCCCCCCTCTGAGGACAAGGCCTCCAAAGGCTTCTTCAGCTACCGGGGTAAGCGCAGGTTGGGGCCCTGACTGTGGCTCTGGGATCAGGAACAGTATGTCTGGGAATCTGGACCATTGTGTCGGCACCAGGAGGTGGGATTGCCCCAACCTATGCTAGGGGTGCTGGGGGAGCTGACTGCTTGCTTGGCTGGGCTCAACAAGGGGGTGCCAAGCCCTCCAGGTGGCCCTGACTCAGGCCTTGGTTTTCCAGGGGACATTTTTGTCCAGAACTTGGTGCCTGATTGGCGAGGCCCGGACGGCAGCTTCTTCGGGATGTTCTCCATTTTCTTCCCCTCAGCCACGGGAATTCTGGCAGGGGCCAACATCTCCGGGGACCTCAAGGTGAGCAGATTACCCATCCCTCCTTTGTCCTGGCCCTGCAGAAGGTGGTGATCAGAGCCTTCCTCCCTGCCCTACCAGGATATGCCTCTGGGCATGGAGCTTGGCACTGAGACCAGTGGGCAGAGCTCCTAAAATAGAGTCCAGTCCAACTGGGACTCAGTTCAATCCAATCCAAACCAGTTCTGCTCCACTCCCATTCTGAGATTGTTGATTTATACCAGCTGCGCTCTAGGCCTCGTGGGATACAAAAAATGGCTAGTCTTTCCCCGGTTCCTGAGACTCTCAGCCTTAGGGGAAGGCTGTGACCTTCCAGAACTCGGCCTTGATCAGAAATATCTTTGCTGGGCTGACAGCTTCCAGGGCTCTCCACTGCTTCGATGTAGGCAGGCTCCTTGGTTTGGCCTTCAAGGCTCCAACCCTCCTGTTCAGCCTCATCTCTGATCACTGCCACAATTTTCCATGATCCCTTCTCCAGTCCCAAGGCTGCTTTGCCCATGTTGTCCTATCCCTCCTCCACGCCTCTGCCGGCACTGCCTCTCTTACTGAGATCCATATGCTTGGGTTTTTCTTTTTCTTTTTTTTTGAGACAGAGTCTTAAGCTATCGCCCTGGGTAGAGTACCATAGTGTCACAGCTCACAGCAACCTCCAACTCTTGGGCCCAAGTGATTCTCTTGCCTCAGCCTACCAAGTAGCTAGGACTATAGGTGCCCGCCACAGCACCTGGCTACTTTTTCTGGTTGTAGTTGTTGTTTGGTGGACCCGGGCTGGATTCAAACCGGCCAGCTCCAGTGTATGTGGCTGGTGCCCTAGCCACTTGAGCTACAGGCACCAAGCCACGCTTGTGTTTTACGCCTTACAAAGTTCTGTTTCTCTTTAAACATCTCCTTCAACCTTACTTCTCTCCCAGCCCTTCCATCAGAGTTATGGTTCCCCTGGTCTAGCATAACGATGTCAGCCATTCATGCGCCAGTTCCATCTAGAAACAGCCACCCACCTCTGTCTCCCTCTTCCCTCCCAGCTTAGAGTCCGGCATATACCAGGTGTTCAGTACATGTTTGTTGACTGAATAGTGGTGAAATGTAGTGTTAAAGCAGAAGCACAAAGTGCTGTGCAGTGGGGGGAAGGAAAGACTGATGTTAGGAGGGGCTCCAACAAAACATCTGGGTAGAAGTGGGGCTGGGGCTTTGAAAGGGGAGAAGCCGGTGGAGCCTTTGCTACCAGCAGAGGTGTCAGCCAGGAGCCTAGCACGGTCCTGGAATCATAGCTAACCCTCACCCCAATCTCCAGTCCTACTCAGAAGGTGCTCCCCGATGCAGTTCCTTTTCTTTCTTTCCTTTCCCTCCCTCCCTCCTGTTTCTTTCTTTCTTTTCTTTTTTTGAGATAGAGTCTTGCTCTGTCACCCAGGCTAGAGTGCAGCATAACTCACTGCAACCTCCAATTCTCAAGCAATCCTCCTGCCTCAGCCTCCCCACTGGCTAGGACTGTCCCCTGCCAGGACACCATACCTGGCTAATTTTTCTATGTTTTGTAGAGATAGGGTCTTTCTTTGTTGTCCAGTCTGGTCTCAAACTCCTGGCCTCAAATGATCCTCCCACCTTGGCCTTCCAGAGTGCAGCATTAAAGGCATGAGCTACTGGCTCGGCGCCTATAGCTCAACCGGCTAAGGCGCCAGCCACGTACACCTAAGGTGGTGGGTTCGAATCCCCAGCCCGGACCCGCCAAACAACAATGACGGCTGCAACCAAAAAATAGCCAGGCGTTGTGGCGGGCGCCTGTAGTCCCAGCTACTTGGGAGGCGGAGGCAGGAGACTCGCTTGAGCCCAGGAGTTGGAGGTTGCTGTGAGCTGTAATGCCACGGCACTCTGCCCACGGGGACAGCTTGAGGCTCTGTCTCAAAAAAAAAAAAAAAAAAAAGGCATGAGCTACTGTGTTGGCATGAAGCATTTTCTTTTTTTCTTTTTCTTTCTTTTTTTTTTTTTGTAGTATTTGGCCGGGGCTGGGTTTGAACCCGCCACCTCCAGCATAGGGGGCCAGTGCCCTACCCTTTGGAGCCATAGGCGCCACCCAGTGAAGCATTTTCTTAACCAAATTAAGAATTGTGCATCAGAGATAGTTTTTGTTTTTTTTCAGGGACCAGGAAAGACTTTAATAGAGGGGAAAGGAAAATGGGGGCTGACCAGGTGTCCGCTCAGATTCCGCAGTTGCAAAAGGCTTTTATTAGCCTCATCAGTATAGCTGGAACGGGCGGTGAGCCTGGAGGGCCGCCTCGGGCTCTTTTCTAGTGTGGGTCAGGATTCTGGGGTATCTGTAGGGTCAGGATTATCTCTGGATCCTTAGAGCCAGGATTATAGGCCTGTCCTTAGTACCAACAGGATATGGGCAGGGTATTTCCAGGAACTCTGGCCTTGGGGCCCTCCTGAAGTTAGGTGAGGGGAATGCTGGTTTCTGACCTGATTTTCCTCTGTCACAGTTATGAGAATTCCTTTCCCACAACTCCCTACTTTTTATTTCAAAGAATGAGGGTGCAGAAAGCTTTCAAAACTTCTTCCTGCTGAAAGGGAGCGCTGACCCTTTTAGGGGTATAGGCAGGAGTTACTGGGGTTAGGAAGGTTTTGGTGTTGTCTTGAGCCAGCCTCTTTCTTTTTTGAAGCCGTGCCCTGGATGGTTCAGGTGGGGCCTGGAATCAGAGTGGCGGCTGTCCAGCTCCCTTTTATTATCTGGGGCATGGCCGGTGAAGGCCTGGTCTGCTGCCCTGAGGAGCCTGCAGAGGTTGGCCTGTGCTCTGATGGCCTGGATTCCTCTGAGCCCCATCAGATCATTGCCTAGAAATTTATCTGGATGCCTCATCAAGCTTCTTAGGTTACCAACTGGCCCTTGTCGAGTGTGCCAATGTCAGGACCGCAGGCTGGCTCAGTGCTGGGTGAGGCAGGCTCCATCTCCCTCCCCTATGCCATCCTATGCCGTGGGGTCTGGATGTTTGAGCTTAAGGGGCCCCTGGACTCTTGGACATGATTCTCTGCCCACCCTGTGGGACAACGTCCTCAGCAGCAGAGCTGCTCCTCTTTGCAGCGCCCTCACTTCGAGGCTTTGGACAAGTTTCTTAAAACTTTTCTGGGCCTCAGCTTCCTCAACTGTAAAATGGGTCTAATACAGCCCCAACCTTGCAGGGTGGTGGTGAGGAGTCAATGAGCTATTCACATAATACACCTCAAATAGTGGCTGGCACAGAGGAAGAGCTAGTTGTCATCATTGTCATTTTTACCATGATAACACAGGAGCAAGTCAAGATCAGAGAGGCTCAGGGGATTGCCCTGGGGTACAGGGGTGGCAGGGGAGCAGGGATATGAGAACAAAGAGGCCTTTGCTTATCAGTTTAATCACAATTTTATCATTCAACAAAATTTTTCTGTGTTGTCCCAGAGCATGTCCCTGTGCTCCATGCTGCCCCCCCAACAGCCACAGTTAGAGTCACGTGCCATGTGCCAGCTTCCTTCCTTCCTTCCTTCCTTCCTTCCTTCCTTCCTTCCTTCCTTCCTTCCTTCTTCTTTCCTTTCTCTCTCTCTTTCTTTCTTTCCTTTTGAGATGGATGTGTTGCCCTGGGACAGTGCTTAGGCATGGAGCTGTTGGATTGTTTCCTCTCTGGCTCAGGCTCCCAGGATCTTGGGTGTGTCCATCCCCCTCTGTGGGTCCTCAGTCACTAGGCTCTTTTCTCTCTGTGTGGAATGGGGCCTCTGCAGCGCCAAGGTCAGGGTTAGCTGGGCAGTGTTGCCTGACGCTCTCTCTCCCTTCTTTTCTCCTCCCCTGACCCCAGGACCCTGCTATAGCCATTCCCAAAGGGACACTCATGGCCATCTTTTGGACCACCATCTCCTACCTGGCCATCTCAGCCACCATTGGTAAGTGGCTGGCCCAGTCAGGTGGAAAGGGATGGGACCCCGCCCAGCTCCCACCCTGCGTGTCCACAGAGCCCAGACCACTAGAAGGGGCCCAAGGGTTTGGGTTGGACTCCAACAGGGAGAGAAGGGCTGGGAGGACCTGGCAACCCCAGGGTGTGGAGCCTTGAACCCTATCTTGGGGCGGTGACAAGAGCATCTTCATGGGAGGGTTAGTTTGTGGTAGGGATGAGGGGGCATCAGATCAGGCTCCTCTGATCCCTTCAGACCTTGAGGTCCCAGAGCGAGAAGCTCCTGCAGGATAAAGCATGCTCCAGGCCTGGGAATAATGTGAGGGTGATGCTAGCAGCTGACACCCCGTGCCCAGCCCTTCCATGTCTTGTCACATTTAATCCCAGTACTGTCATTTCCTCTAGTTTACAGAGGAGAAAATGGGGGCTCAGAGAGGTTAAGGTCACATAGCCAATGAGTGGTGGAGCTGGGCTTTGAACCCAGGCCTGTCATCTCCTCCTTGACCTGAGAGCCTCCTAGGTGCACTTGCTCCCTGAGACCTCCTTCCAGGCAAGCTGTGCACAGGTGGCCAAAGGACTTGGCCCAGGTCTCTGCCTTAGGAGGACATTTAGATCTAGGACAGGTCACTTAGGCTGTCTGCACCTCTGTAAAATGACCACAACAAGAACAATAATAATAAGTAAAGTACATGCACCTGGCACATGGCAAGCGTGCCACATATTAGCTGCTGCCACCATTGTCATTACACAATACAGGTAACTCTGACCCACCACCCACAGCACTTGATCCTCTGCAGAGGTGACTGCATTGGGGGGACGGGAGAGGATAGAATAAGGCAGGAAGGGAGACCTCCCAACATCCTCCTTCCTCCTCTCAGGCTCCTGCGTGGTACGCGATGCCTCTGGGGTCTTGAACGACACGGTGACCCCGGGCTGGGGTGCCTGCGAGGGGCTGGCCTGTGGCTACGGCTGGAACTTCACCGAGTGCTCCCGGCAGCACAGCTGCCGCTACGGCCTCATCAACTATTACCAGGTCCCAGGGCTGCATGGAGCCTCCCCAGGGGCCACCCCACCAGGCGCAGGGGGTGTGGGGCTGGAAGTCTGCCGGAACAGAGTTTGGGGGTCTGGGCCCCAGGCTTGAGGGAGAGAGGCACAGAGCTCAGATGTGCTCAGTCCCTCCCTGTGGGTGGCACTGGGACCTCATGTGGGGGTTGTGGATTCAGATAGAGGCTCAGTAGTGACTGGGGGGACTCTTGGCTCCACCCCCCCATCACGGGCGTCCCGGAACCCCACACCTCTGCAGACCATGAGCATGGTGTCAGGCTTCGCGCCCCTGATCACTGCCGGCATCTTCGGGGCCACCCTCTCCTCTGCCCTGGCCTGCCTCGTCTCCGCAGCCAAAGTCTTCCAGGTGAAGCCAGAGGAATGGGTAGGGCAAGGGCTGGGGATCTGAGTTGAGAGGCCCAGCCAGAGGGGACTCTGGGTGACTGCTACAACAATCTGGAGGTGTCATGTGACCAGGGAGTCTAGATGGGAGGGAAAGGGGCGATCTGAGCATACTCTTAAGGAAGCAGCCCCCCTCCCCGTGGGGTGATTTGAAGAACGCCTGCAGTTCCCACCCCAAATCTCACCTGTGCAGCCCGTGTGAGACCCACCACCCAGTTTCACCCTGAGTGATCAGCCTTTCTCATTCTACCCTTTTACTGTGCCCTTTCTGGTGAGGTGGGGTGGGTGAGGGCCTCCCCCCATATAACAGAAGCAGAGGACAGGGCCCCAATGGGGACATGCCCTGCTAGGGTCACGGAGGGCATGAGCAGGAGCTGGAGCCTGGGAGGACCCAGGGCAGGGGAGGTGGTGGGTCGTGAGCGAGGCATCTGGTGCTGCAGTGCCTATGTATGGACCAGCTGTACCCTCTGATCGGCTTCTTCGGCAAAGGCTACGGCAAGAACAATGAGCCTGTCCGTGGCTATCTGCTGGCCTATGCCATCGCCGTGGCCTTCATCATCATTGGTAAGAGGCTGCCTGTGCTGGGCGAGCCAGTTCCCTCCCTGCCACTCCTCTCCCCTCCCATCCTGAGTGCTCAGCCGGGCCAAGCAGTGAGAGGCTCTGTGGATAGAGAGCTGTGGATGTGAGACCCCTCCTGCTAAGAAACCTGGGGAGCCATGTGCTCCTCCAGGCAGGGTGGCTCCTCCCAAACCAGGCTGGGCCGTGGGCCCTTCTGCTCCATGAGCAGGGAACTCACCTCCTTTCCGTGTCATGCATTCCAGTGTCTTTGCAGGTGACACTCCCCTCCCCAGGCCTAAATGAGCCCCCAGGACACTTTCGGAGCACAGGATAAGCTAACTGGTCCTTCTTTGAGTGTTGAAACAAATGTCTGGGCCAATATCCTCATAGGTGTAAAAACTAGACAAACCCATTTTCCCAAGCCTTGGTCTTCGAGACCCCTTGGGCTTCAAGGTGGGAGATGCTTTAGGAGAAAGAACCCAGGTAATCTGTTCCTCACATTGACTTTGTCCCTTGGCTTTGCTACGTGCCAGCTATGTGATCTTGACAAGTTACTTTACCTCTTTGAGCCTCCGGGAGCCATAGTGCTTAACAGGTGTGTCACAGATGGGCAGGAAGACACCCCCTCACATTACACACCCATTCACATACCCAATACCTTCTGACTAACTTAGCCAAGGAGGCAGAACTCCCTAGGAAAGAGCTGGCCACCAAGCCAGGACAGTGGGCATGGTGTGACGTGAGGCCTCCCTGGTCCCTGCTCCCTGGGAGGAGTGGAGTGGGGGAAGGCTGTTGGCACCTTCTGGCTGCTGCCGAATCCCTGCTGCTTGGGCAAGCGTCACCAACCTGTCAGACTTGCCTGGACTTCTAGTCACTGTCCCCCGAGGGAAGCTTTCCAGACACTGGGCACTCCTGGGTCCTGAGCCAAATGAAGAGGCAGCAGGGCCGCACTCAGGATGGAAAAGTCTAGTCAAGCCTGGCATCCCTGGGCCCAGACACCCATTTCCCTGCCAGACACCCTGATTGGGATTCAATGCCCTTCTATCAGGGTGGTTCTGTCTTGACTTCAGACTGGGGACCAGGATCACAGATGCTTGGGGCAGGGTTCTTCTGAGGGTGATTAAATGGAATCATGGAGGGAAGGCCCAGCACATAAGAGGTGCTTATCTTATTTGGGGATCTCTGGAAGCAGGCCCTGGGACAAGGATTCACATGCAGAATTTATCCTGGGGAGCTCAGGGCGGTGGCAGGGAGCAGGACAGAGAGGGAAGAGAAGCCGCCAGTTCTAAGCAGGTCACCACTGGGATGGAACTGTGATGCAGTCCTGGGTGTCCTGGCCCAGGTTGTAAAATGTATTTCTTACTGTAATTTGTGACCAAGAAAGCATGATAGCTGCTGCCACTGGTCATCCCATAGCCTGATGAGATCTACTCTCACGCTGCCCACACCCTTTAAGAGGCTTTTAAGAAGCCAGTTTACAGTTTATAAGACATCATCCCTTTGAGCCTCACAAGTGATGGACCCATTTCACAGATAAGAAGATTGAGACCTATTTAGGGTCAATGGCTTGTTTGGGGGCCTCCACCCGGGGAGTGAGGGTGCCAGGCAGCTCCTTGGCAGAGTTGCCCAACAGGCTGTCCTCTCTCTCTCTGGGCCCCTGAAGCTGAGCTCAACACCATAGCCCCCATCATTTCCAACTTCTTCCTGTGCTCCTACGCCCTTATCAACTTCAGCTGCTTCCACGCCTCCATCACCAACTCGCCCGGTGAGCAAACCCTTCCCCTCTGCAGGAGGGCCCCAGGGGTGGGAGCAGAAGGCATGGATGGATGAAGGCAGCCCAAAGTCACCTCTCAAACTGAAACCTATTGACGGGAACGTGCATGTCATCATAATGGCAGCTAACCTTTTTTAAACACAGCGTGCACTTTGCGTGGATTCATATGCTGTTTACAGTCTGGGGGGGGGGTTCTAGTCCCTTCTGTCACCAATTTTACAGAAGTTAGGAGTCCGACTCCTTAGAGAGAGAAGAGAACTGCCCATGACCACAGCTGGGGCTGTCACATAGGGTGTTGCAGGTTGCACTCAGCACAGCTCTAGGGAGCTCCATAGATATCATAGCTGCATGGCGAAAAACTTCCGGCAGGTGGCAGTAATGAGTCTTGAGGAAGCTGGGTGTGGTGGCCCACATGTGTGGTCCCAGCTTCTCCGGAGTTCAAGGCTGCATTGAGTTAGGATGACGCCATTGCACCATGCCAGGCTGGATAACCCTAAGTCTTACCAAAAAAAAAAAAAAGGAGTATCAAAGAAAAACACTTTGTTCTAACTAGCCCCCAATTGCCAATGTCCATTACCAGGCTACCTTTTATGTACACCCCAATGTGCATGGTGTCCCTGGAGTTGTGCCATGAGGCAGCTGTCACTAGTGGCAAGGGCAGCACTGGCCTGCTGACACAGAGCCAGGAAGAAGCAGGTCCTTGCCCCTCCATTTCACTCCAGCCCTGTTGCTGGCGTGGTACATCCTGTGTCCATATTTACCCAGAGTGGATGTTCCCTCCTTGGTACAGTCTGTTGACACAATGATGTGCCAGTGGAGTTGGGCATATGGTCCTCTGCAGAGCTGCCAGCCCAGCCCTGGGAGGAAAGGCAGGTGGCCCCCCTTGGCATCCATGGCTGCCCAGCCCTGCCCAGGAAGAGCTTCCAGAGTGCCAGGCATGCCCACTGACCTATGCTGCCGGCCCAGGGTGGAGACCCTCCTTCCGATACTACAGCAAGTGGGCGGCGCTGTTCGGGGCGGTCATCTCTGTGGTCATCATGTTCCTCCTCACCTGGAAGGCGGCCCTCATCGCCATTGGCGTCGTGCTCTTCCTTCTGTTCTACGTGATCTACAAGAAGCCAGGTGTGCATCTCAGCTGCTGGGCTCACCTGCCCTCCCCATGGCAGCCACGGAGGCGGTTCTGCCCCCTGGCCTGCCGGGAGGTCTCTGAACTCCTCTCTGGCCCTCAAACCCTGTCTGTCCCCATGCTGTGAAGAGCCCCAAGGGATGTGCCCACTCAGAGCTCACCCCTCAGCTTCCAGACCACCCCTGGGTATCCAGCAGTCTGGAATTCCCTGCCTGAAGGTAGCTTCCAGGGTCTGAGTCTCTTCCCCAGCATGATCCTACAATAGGGCCTCCCCTTTGCTGTGTACACCTAGTCCCCTGGGGTAGCCAAGGGCTGGGTATTTGAAGGCAGGTGCACAAAGCTTGGAGCCTGGGCAGGGGTGTCTACATGCAGGCAGGGATCCTGGGATGACAGCAAGAAATAGGATTCCTAGAAAGCCTAGAATTATGGGAGCAGAGAATTGCAGGCTTTCTACCCTCAGCCCTGCTCGCCTAGATGCCCAGCCCCAAAGGAAGGCCAGCCTGCCCTCCTTCCCTCCCTCCTTCATTACTCCCTCCCTTTGTGAGCCTGGTTTCCTCCAGGGATTCCTAATCTTGCTCTCACCCCACTCCAGAGGTAAACTGGGGCTCTTCGGTGCAGGCTGGCTCCTACAACCTGGCCCTCAGCTACTCCGTGGGCCTCAACGAGGTAGAAGACCACATCAAGAACTACCGGTGAGCTGAGCTTCTGGGGCCCCACCTGGGAGGGCTCTGCCCTGAGAGTGTCTGAGCCTAGACCTGTCACCTGACAAAGGCAGACCTGGGGGGGGGGCACAGCCCCCACTCTGGAGGAAACAGAGGCAGAGAACATCACCCAGCCACTGGGAGATTGAGGTTGACACTTCCCAAAGGGGACCAAGCAAGGCAAGAGACCTCTCTGTGCCTTAGTTTCCACAGCGGAAAGTGCTTTGTTGTCAGGGCGACTTGGTGTTGTAATTTCCCATTGTGATAATGCTTTGAGGCTGATGGTGCTAAACTTCCCCTGGGCATCGAAACTGACTCCTCTCTGTGAAGAGAATTACCCACCTGGGATCCCCTTCCCGCCAGATTGTGGCAAGACTAATCAGGCAATATCGGTTCATGTCATACTTACTGTGAGCCAGATGCTTCCAAAGCACCTCACACAGCCTCACAACCCTCTAAAGTCTAGGAAATTGCCAACCCCAGGCCCAGAGGAGGGCTCTGAGGCACAGAGAGGTTAAGTAGCTGGTCCTAGGTCGCACAGCTGGTGAACTGCCAATTAAGTCTGGCTCAAATTGACTCTGGCAGTGACCTTTGAATGCTACCCACTGCTGCCTCTGGACACACAGGCTGAGTTACCTGCCCAGTAACATGATGACTTTATAGTGACAGGCTTCCTTACCACCAGTCCTTATTCTTCCCACCACCACACTGGGCTGGGCAGCACAGGGAGGAACACCAGGAAGAATGTTTGGTGGCTTGAGCAAGAAGGACAAGGGAGACCCTGTGTCGTAGGCACCAAAGGAGCTGGGAGGTGCCTTTAGCATCCTGACCCCTGTAGGCTCTCCTCTGATGGCTCAGGCCCCTTTCTCTTCTCCTCGGCAGCCCCCAGTGCCTGGTGCTCACAGGGCCCCCCAACTTCCGCCCAGCCCTGGTGGACTTTGTGGGCACCTTCACCCGGAACCTCAGCCTAATGATCTGCGGCCACGTGCTCATTGTGAGTGCCCCCTGGAGACGAGGCAGGATGGGGGTCGTGGGGACATGGAGCAGGGAGAGTCCGGTCCCTCCACTTCCTGGCCCCTCACTGTCTCATCCCACCACTCTGCGTCTCCCCACTCCCTCCTTCTCTCATGTTCCCCTCCTCCCGTCCTCCTCCTCTTTCTCCCCCTTAACTCTGCAAAGGAAAACCAGCGCCTCTGGTAGTGCTGAGCCCATGGGGCTTAACCCCAGGCTGGAGGCTGCCCCTGATGTCATCTGCCCTGCCACCCACAGGGACCCCGCAAGCAGAGGATGCCTGAGCTCCGGCTAATCGCCAATGGACACACCAAGTGGCTGAACAAGAGGAAGATCAAGGCCTTCTACTCGGACGTCATTGCAGAGGACCTCCGCAGTGGTGTGCAGATTCTTATGCAGGTGCCGTGGGTTTGGGGGCTTCCCGACAGGATTTAGTACTTGACATGACAACTTGGGAGGCAGAAAGTCCTGGGGGCCGGGTTTAAGTCCCTTTGCTCTAACTGGAATCCCACCCCACCCTCATGTGACTCCATAGGCGCTGATTCAGGACACTGTCTGGGGTGCCCAGCGCCTGGGAAACTGACCTGGAAGCCTGTGGGGCTGTGTGACCTTGGTCAATTCCTTTTCTTTTTGTTTGTTTTAAAATATAATTTGCACACAGTAAAGTAAAAAACATTAAATGCACAGTTTCTCAAATACTTACATATGTGGACACCACCCAGTGGTATGTGACCACTACTCAGATAAAGATCTAGAATGTTCCACTGGACAATTCATTTTACTGCCCAGTTTTCTCATGTGTTAAATGAGATGCTTAGGCAAAATAATAACACTTGCTCATTCTCAGTCAACATATAAGAATACTTTTCAATATTTCTCAAAAGGTGGTCTCTTTGGGGGGTTATGAAAACATTTTGGAAGTAGGCTCGGCGCCTGTGGCTCAAGCGGCTAAGGCGCCAGCCACATACACCTAAGGTGGCGGGTTCGAATCCCCAGCCCGGG